GTTCAGTATTTGCGCTAAACCTGCGCAGATTTGGCTTGCATGAACTTCCCCAAGAAATTAATGAGTGAACATAACTTACGAAAAGTAACCCGCCAAATTGTCTAGTGATTTGACAGCGTTATCCGCATTTGGCGGGTATTAATTTCAAACCCTGCCTGCAAGTAATAAAAGGTCTTAAGCAACTGAGGGCGCGGTGAACAGGCGCAGTTATGAGTGACGTTACTGTCATGTTCAGCTTAGCTTGTTTTACAGGCGCTCTGTTACGGAATGAACAAATGATAAGCTCTAAACCTAACTAAAAGGACAAACGTTTCGTTATTACTGTTAGTATGCAAGTCAGACGCTTTTGAAACTGAAACTTCATATCTGGAAAGCTGTAAATTATTTAAACATACTTATTTAAATAATATTTAATTTAAAAAATACGTCTTATAGTATTCAAACACTTAGTAGGCCTATCATTGCTTTAAATATTAACAATATAAAGACTTTTTAATGGCCCTTGTACTATTTTAAAATTCAAAACTGTGAAGCAGCTTGTTTTTACGGTGCTGTGTAATAGTATTGTGGCTCGTGCATGCTGACTTCTTTATGAATGAGCGCTTGCATGGCAACAGACTGTGATTGGCTGATTTGTAGGGATACCCCAGAGCTGTGGAGAGAGAGAGTTGTGACAACTCCGTTCACTCCAATGGACCAGTTTTTTTACAGCAATGGCGGATCGTGGCCGCTCAATAGTTCCCGGAAGTTAGCGCTCATACTATCAGCGCCGTAGAGATGCAGCAGAAGAGACCGCTGTGACGAACTTTTAAAAGGTATGACATTTATAGAACAAAATAGTATATTATCAGCACAGCTAATCAAATTACCCTGTGCATTAAAACAGATGATTATTAGATTATTCCTCACTTAATTAGTAGATTTACGGGATGTTATTCATTCTCTTCATGCAGTTTCATCCATCGTTGTGTAATTTAAAAGTGATTTTGCTGGTGGGGAGTTATTAAATAGACTTAGATATATTGCAAAGGATGCAGATGGACCAAAGTGAGAATGAAAAGTTTAATGTAGGTGAGCAGTTTTCATTTCAGAATCATGCTAGGCTAAATTTCCAAAAATGTATTATATAATATTATAATATCTACTATATTATAGAAGTAATTACAGTAAACCTGTACATTATTACTGTATTTTATACTTAAACGTCTTAGCTACTAAATAAGCACTGTGTTGAAGGAGCAGATGCCACAGGACTGCAATGTGATGGAGCATCACTTAACCATTTCTCCTGTGTTTTTCTCCTTCGCTATCTTGCTTTCAGAACAAGAACCACCTGAAGACTCCCTGTAAAGAGACAGCACCCTCACAATGAGTCTCTGGTTTTGGCAAGTCTTTCCCTGCTCTTTGTGAAAAAGTGCCAGTTCCCTAGTATGATTACATCACATTTTGTTGGTGTAATCTGTAGATTGCTCCTGCTGATTATATCCAGCCTCTTACGAAGACTTCAGATGACCCAACACCTGTGAAGAGATGACGCCAACCCTTGAGAGGACTTTAGATGAAGCTGACTCTGAATAAACATACAAAACTGCTACATTTTCCTTGCATTGTAATCAACATGATCACATCATGTAACCATTGCTTTAATTTGTTCATTGTTTCTGTATATATTTAACTGTTTCTGAATACATGACGTTACTTAACTGCATGATTTGTATAGCCTCATTTTAGAACATTTCTGCCATGTGAGCATTACTTTGGCACAGTTACACCTGTTAACAGAACTCTTATTCGTAATGTAGAAACATTCATTTTCTGTAGAGCTGCTTTGAAACAATGTGTATATTAAAAAGTGCTATACAAATAAATGTGAATTGAACAAAACTTGATGCATCATTTTTTTTTTCTCCTCTCCAGATCAGTAGGGAAACCATACATTCACACTCCTTTCTGTGAGTGACTGGAGCACTCCCATGCAGCACAGCAAACTATAGTGGAGACTGTTCAAGGACAACATGCTTTATAGTTTATTATAAATGTATAAATCGATTGCTGTAAATAAGTGCATAACAAAAGTCAACATATATAAAATATATGATTAAATGTGTAAAAATGTGTAAAACTGTTTTAAGTTGTTTTAAATTGGAATATACTACAAATATATTTTTATATATTAATAATTGTGGGGTGCACAAGAATCAAAAACATTGAACAAGATTAGTTTTCACTTAATAAAATATCTTCATTTATTTGGAATGAATTTTCTAAGACAACAAACTTAACATTTACCATGAGATTAGTAAAACGACAATGAACATTAAGATGTGATTGAACTTGACTAACATGCAAGTTGTAAGAACACACACACACACACATATAATTATATTTATATAGAGAGGCTGAAGTTACCTTGGCAGAAGACCACGATGTCGTTTATATAGCAAACACGGACTTTTACCATGGTAACTAAAGCCTAAAATATGTTAACAAGGCAGGTAAGGATAGCTGACCACATTAATCCTCAAATAGTAGCAGATTTTATGTTTTAAAAACAACACTGATATAACTACATATATATACTACGTATACATGTATACATTATTTTATAAATAATGTAAATAAACTATTTTATTGTCTACTAATTACCAAAAATCACAGTTCTGTCTCTCCAACTCAATGTATTTCAATTGCCCGCTATGAACTTCCTGGAACTATTTGAGGTCTACGTGAATCACGTGACGATCGAGCGTTTTGGACTTCCGTTGACGCAACTCTCTTCTGGCTCTGGATCGGACAGCGGCTGGTCTCCCGGCGAACCTGCCGATTGGTTGTCTGTCCAGCGCACCCGACTACCAAAGCTCTTTCTCATTGGCTATTGTAGAGAAGAGCGGGCCAGTCTATGAACCGATTGGTGCGTTGGTCGTGTTACGCTGTTTTCTGTCCGGCTGTCACGTCGTTGAATGGGAAATATATAAATTGCACAAACGATAGCATGCCCTTTTGATTTGATAAAAAAAAAATATCGCCATCGCCACATTTAAAAATATTATTATCTTTGATATTTATGTATTTTGAATGTGTTTTTGTATTTTGCCTCTCACGACTATGGGAGTATATGACCTTATTTGGTATTCCCTAAATAGAGAACACTACCCAGACTTTAGCTGCACTTCACAGCGAATTACTAGTAACGTTAGATAGTGAAATAACTTCTTGGACGCTGATGTGGGTTCGTGTAGCTTTGCGAATACTTATATAATTAGTACATGCATTCATTGCATCGTTTTGGTGACGTTTTATTGGACCCTACATTGTAACGTTCATGTACACGTCTGTGTCACCATGTCATGTAAATCACAATACTCTTGCATGTTGTCTATTGGTTTTCACTTACTTCTTTCTTTGACTAGACAGTGTGAAAATCTGTTGGAGCAGCATGTCAGTGGAGAATGTTGCAGCACCTCCTCCACCTCCACCTCCTTCACTGGCTCGCTCAGTGTCCAGCAAGAAGAAGCTTTACCAGGCTTTAGCAGAGGGAAGGGCCCCTGTAGAAGGGGACCATGAAGAGGCCAGAATTATTCTAGGACAGAGAGAAAGCAGGTGAGTACAAACCGCAATTTTGTACTCTGAAGACTTTTTTGTACAGCCTTGAT